GCACTTTATTGAATCACATAGCAAAGCCCCACTCTTTGCAATCCATTCTTCATCTTTTTCTTGGCTTCCTTTCTTGGTTATCACTTGATGATCCTATGACTTTCTGGACTCACAGGGTGACCAGCAAGCTAATACATATCCCACCAAAAGACTCTATACACCTTGAGGGGGAGTCCTGTTTTTCACTTTGCCTTTGTATTCCTGGTGCCCATCAAATGTCACGAACGTTCGGAGGATTGGATTGTAGGAGGGGATTCATGATTTCAGGATAAGGTGTTTATTACTTCATGAGTTTCTTTAAACAAGTGGACTTAATTCAGTTCAACAAGTAGACAATATATGCACAGCTCCTATGCACATAGAGGTGCTCAATAAATGTTTATTTAATTATAGAGTTGGATTTAATTCCCCTTCTGAGATGAGTACCATTTTCATGAAAGGCCACTTATTACTTAACCCTAAGATTTACTAAAATAGAGATTTTTAGGGTCAATGGAGGAGACAATTGGTCTTACCCCCTTTGCTTATCCCCTTCACGTTAAACTAATTAGAGAACTGCCCACTTAACCTATTGGAAAGGCCTTGTCTCTCACCTTAGTCTCATGGGAATTGGTTGGTCTCCTAAGTGAGGCTAATCTAATATGATTACTAAGTATGATCTGGAGTCTCCTTTCTAGGCTGTCCTCTCATGTTCTCCTTCTCACCTGAATACTCCTATAGGACTGCAAAGCAAGAGCACACACAAAAAAGACCTCTATTTATCCTGTGAGATATTTGGGTACAGTATTTAAATGAGCTTTGTTTCTGTGACAGTTGTGAGCCATATTTAAGCAGTATCTTTCTTCTAAGGAACTTAAAACCTTTCTCAGTGACTGGCTTACTAATGTGTCAGAGCCTCTCAAATGTATTCACAGTAAGCTGACAACAGATTTGAGGGCCTTTATAGCTAGATATGTCAATAACAATATGCAATTTTAACCAAATATCTTTTTATGCTTGACTCAGAAGGCTAAGGGGAAATAGAGAAGAAAGAATTATTTGGGAATTCATTATACAATGGTTTCTCTGTGGCGTATTGCAAAATGGCCAAAGTGAGTGAAACCTCACCGAAGCAGTGGGTTTGATGTATTATAATAATGAATGTAATAATAATAACAATAACAATAGCAACAATATTCCCATATGGTTTTTTTAGGTTTTAAAAATATTTTTCTCAACACAAATATGGAAGGTAAATAGTACCAGCTTATGATTGTCATTTTCAGACAAGGAAATGGATTCATGGCAGTGAAGTGATTTGCCCAGGGTCATATGTTGTTAGGGGCCCTTTTTTTCCATGACTCCATAAGGTCTCTCCCAACAGCCCCACTGGACTACATCTAACATGCTTCTGGAATGTGAGCAAAAATTCTATTGAAAGAGATCCATGATTCACCTCAGTTATGCAGAATTTTAATATTAAGCATATTTTATTTGTGATTTTCCAGTATCATGCTTGTAAAACCACAAATATTTTATTTTAACCCATTACATAGATGATGATCTAGGAAAGTCAATTCAACAAATATTTTTTTAATGTTTATACTACGTGTTTAGTACAGGGTAAGGCATTACAAGAACAAAACTTAAAAGTCCCCTATTCTCAAGCTTACAATCTATTGGAGTGTTTTATTGGTTTAATTACAAAATAACTTAAAAATTTGGCATCTTAGTGCCATGTATTTAATAGGTACTTAAAATGTTTGTGGGGTTAGATTTTAGGATTGGATTTTTTGATCCTCATTTTATCCTCCTTGCAACACTACATTATAAGGAAGGAGTTATGGGCATTTTTTAATGGTACTCAAGGTGAAAGTGGGGGATAAAATGCATGATTTCATTAGTGTAGGAAATGCTTAATAAAGAAAGATCAGATCAATGCTAAGGAGAGCAGATCAGTGCCTGGTCTGCAACTTACAGTCTTAGAAAAACGGCCATGGGTGCTATTAACCCCTACTTGATATCTGATGAGACTAAAGTGATTTGCACACTGTAACCCACCTACTGCATGTCAGAAGCAAGACTCAAACCCAGGACTCAGTCTAGCAGTCCATTTCTGTTATTTACAAAGGAACCAAATTGATAAGGCATGCAGTCAATCAGCAAACATTTATTAAGTATCTACTATGGACCAGTCACCATCCTGGCCTCTGGACATATAAAAAGTGAAAGAATCTTTGCATTCTCTGGAAGAAGCATATTGGACATCTGCCATCATACCTTAAAATGAAATCAGGGAATAAATAATCAATCATTGGGAATTTCAGGACTGCTCAGCAGTTTCCCTACTTAAGATCTGCTCAAGTTGTTGCCTCTTAAAAAAAGTAAGAGGCCAAGAGTGTGAAGCCTTAGACCCATCAGGGCCAGCTGCAATTCTGTTCAAGTGTAAGCCATAACAGACTTTGACCTGAATGGAAAGGTTCTTGTGTAGATAGAACTTCGGTGAATGCTGGGACTCTGGGGTGAGGGAGAGATGGGGATCAGTCTATCCTTTGTACGCTAATGGACTCTGCCAGCCAAACTAGGAGGATGAATACGGGGGAATTCTGGAACAGCTGCATCTATCTCCTTATTATCTGCCAAGATGGATTGTTCCGGGCTAAAGGAACATCCCACATGGAACGGATCTCTCACTGCCCCATGGCGCCTTTACAATCTCCATTTTAATAACACAAACTGCAGGGCAGCCTGACTGCTAGCCCAGCATTTCTTCAGAAATCTTTCTATTACAGGACAGGATAAAACCATCACTAATACAAACCAACAGTATTATTTCCAATGTAAGCACTTTAAAAGGTTGCTTGTACAAGGAAAGACAAATTCTCCGAATTACACGCAATTTTGCGGTTAGTCGGCAATGATACTACATTGACTTCTGTGTTGCACTCGAACACACGAACTGTGTAAACAGTGTTAGATGTTTGATTAGCATTAATATGAAAGATGGGACGATTAGGTAGGATTTCTTCAGAAAGGCCTTACACTTACTGTGTCTTTTGTATTAGAGAAAAACAGAATTTGAATTTAGCATTCAAAAAAAATATTCACTTTGACTCAGTGTGTTATCTTTCAGCTGTGGATTTACTGGCATCTAAGAAATGCAACTCTTTTGTGGTACACTGAAGCTGTTGATGGATACTAAGAATTACATTACTCTTGTTTTGTTTTTGTTTTTGTTTTTTGTTTTTTGTTTTTTTGCTTTTTCTTCTCCATCTCTCTCCCTTTACAATTTTTCTTTTGCAGCTATTTTTGGCACTTTTTCTTCTTGGTTTAAAGTGGGAGATAGCATGACCAGAGGACTAAGGAAAAAGGTTATATAAACTTCCACAAATGTCCTCTTCAGGTCTCAATGTCCTTTTCTGTAAAATGAATGAAGTTTACTGAGTTATTCATAAGATTCCTATGATCTCTGAATCCTATGTTCCTAGTCTTATCTTCTGCTTGATTATGTAAACTGGGTAAGGAATAGGTTTCATTGTGTACATACAAAGAGGAACCCTCTTCAGTGATTGTGACATAATACATCTAGCTATCCTTAAATAAGCTTACTTCTAATATTCCCCTAAAACTTAATTTGACAAAAGAAATATTGAGAACCAACTATGTGCAAGGCACAGATGAGTTTTAGTACTTCTTTTCTTTGTAGTTCAACTCAACAAACATTTCTCAAGCAGTTTCTAGGTGCAGAGAATTTTGGATATGGTGACAGAAAGACACAAACAAAATCCTCCGTGCTCTTAAGAAGCAGACATTCTTCTGGCAGGGTAGGGGTAAGGTAGGGGGTACAGTGATAGGTCCACAGATAAGTAAATGAAAGAATAATGGCTAGATATCTGGACTTGGAATTAGGAAGATTTGGAAGTCAGGAAGTCCGGAAGATAGACACACACTAGCTATGTATTTCGGGGCAAGCCTCTTAAAGTTCTATGGCTTTCGTTTACTTTATCTGCAATGTAGCAGGGAATGGTGGTGGTGTGGCAGACTCTGACCTCTTGGGTCCCTCCCAGCTCTAAATCTATGATATTCATACAAAAGAATGTTCAGAGGTTGATAACTACTTGAGGGAGCAAGGAAGGAATATAATACCTGAAGGAAAGTAAGGATTCTATGAAACAGAGATAAAGAGGGATTGAACTTTTTCAAAGATGTTTTTGCCGGGTCAGGCTCTTTGATGCTGTATTACTTTTGTGGAGTTCATTTCCATAGGGATGATGATTTCTCAGACCAAGTGTAGATCTGTTTCTTAGCATTTGCAGTAGATCTTCTATATATCTATATTTGTTAAGAGTTTTCTTCACTAATCTTTGTAGCCTTTTAGTTGGAATAGGCAGAGTGAGGAGACCAAAAACAGAGAAACCTGTTCAATCATTAGCAATAGATATTTTATGAATTGTGAATTTAGAGACTTTCACTATAACCTATTTCTACTTAAATTTCTATAAATTTAGCAGGAAGATTTATAAAGAGTACAATCATCAGCATTTCATCTTATATCAAATGGAACCAGAAATGGTCTACTGCAGAAATTTATGTACACGATCTTTGTTGCCATTAATGTCCATGCAGTGACCTGTAAAACATCTAGTTACTGCTCTGTTCATATTAGCTCCCACATACTAATGATTTATTTTCATTTTCTCCAGGATATCAACCTGCTCCTAACTGAATTTGATTGATCAGAGGGGAATCCAAAATAAATGGCTACTCTCGTTGTACTGCTGCTATGGAAAATGGAACACCAGTGGCTAATGGGACACGATTTGATAAAGAACATCAAGTAAAGATGTTTCAATAAATGTGAAATCAATGGAAAATCCTTGCTGTTTGAAAAGCTTTTTGAGATTTTCCTGACAGGCTCCCCTGGAAACCTGAGGGAGCATTCCTTCTTCAGCTGTCTTATTTTTCACGGGTGGATACAAATACTGTTACTTCCTTGTCAACTCCACACCTCATGTGGGACCATGGTCCTGCCAAGATCCATGTGGCTGAACTGTGCCTGGAAAGCAGGGATGGCACATCTTGTACTGCGGGCATTGGACACCACACTGACCCTGTGCATCATTGGTTGTTTGCTTCAGGCCTCTGCCGTGTCCTCACAAAAATTGGATGATGCTGACCCACTGGTGATGACCAACTTTGGCAAAATAAGAGGGGTTAAGAAGGAACTCAATAACGAAATCCTGGGGCCTGTGATTCAGTTTCTTGGGGTTCCATATGCAGCCCCACCCACAGGGGAACGCCGTTTTCAGCCTCCCGAGCCCCCATCCTCTTGGTCAGACACCAGAAATGCCACTCAGTTTGCTCCTGTTTGTCCGCAGAACATTATTGATGGCAGGTTGCCAGAAGTCATGCTCCCTGTTTGGTTTACTAATAATTTGGATGTAGTTTCTTCCTACGTACAAGATCAGAGTGAAGACTGCCTCTATTTAAATATCTATGTCCCAACAGAGGATGGTGAGTTAACTGAAGGAAAAAAAACAGCAAGAACTTTAAAAATATATAAAAAAATTATTCTTATTCTAAATTCTAACAATATTAATTCATGTATACTGGTAGCAAGCATGGCTTTCTGTTGTTGGCACGAAGGCATTTTCCATGTATGCATGTGGCTTATTTGTGTGTGTTCATGTGTATATGCATATGTTTTATTTTTTTTCTCCCCTGTTTCTACGTGTTTTATTTCTCCCATAGCACGTATGTTTAGGCAGAAATTGGTTCTTAATCCCCATTTCCTACTCAATGCCTTCAGGGAAGATGCATCAGCCTTCCTCCATTTTGCATGTGCAGGCACAAGAAATGGGTAACCTTTCGCACTCAAAAAAAAATGCAGGAGTTTAGATTTAAGTGAGCTAGTGGTATTGCATGCTCCGAGTGTCTGTGATGGAGCTCCATGTTATTTTCTAGTCTTCTATTCATTTTTCAGTAAAAAGAATATCCAAGGAATGTACAAGAAAACCCGGCAAGAAAATTTGTAGAAAAGGAGGTATGTATAAAAGTGGAAACCAAAAACGGGGGAAATAAAGGCTTGGAGAGGAAGAACAAGATAACACATCCAAAGGATAATTTGCTGATATGCTGAAGTGAAAGGTTAGGCAATATCTTGTATTTAATGAAGCTCACCAAGGAGTTGAGAGATGGTGGAAGAGGAGAATGGCAGAGAGGATAACTTCTATAAACCATCATTGTCTCTCTCTTTGGTTCCCTGGTGATGGCGGTAGGGGCAACATCTGCATCTTGGTCTAGTGCTTGTTTCAAGGATGCTGAAAATATTTGTGTATTGACAAAGAGCAGGAGCAGAGATCTTTTAATGACTGAAAATGTGTATTCTCTGGACATTTTCTCCACATAAGAGTCCTACCTTTCCTGTAGTCTTTTTTTTGTCCTTTACAAAAAAATGAGTGAGAATGAATAGTCAGTTTTCTTTTTGCTTGTGGTTTCTTCTGTGTAAACTCACATTACAAGGGTAGTGAAATGTTCAAAATATTTCGCCACGGCATTTTGGCCACTGCTGTTGTCAGGTAGTATTTTTCTTCAGACAGTATTTAAATCTCGATGTCAATTCCCAGAAAAAATGGAGATCTTGCAGATTTCGTCCCAAACATTTGCAGATTTTCAAAATTACTCTAACACTTGTATATTTATGTTCAACAACTTAAAACATGGGAAATAACATGATTCAGAAGCTACAATTAAATCAACCTTTAAAACATCCTCTAGTTAGATTGTGCAAGTGGAGACAGTCACAGCTGCAGGCTTGTGGAGACTTAATATGTCTGAATGTGGCTTGTCCAGACGACGTTTTTAAAAAAGTTTCCTATTCTGTAAATCACCCACAGGAGAGTCAGATCTGCTGGGGTGGGAGATTCTGGATGTGCTCATTTGACTTTAATCATAAGAATGTAGAAATCTCAGCCAGGTTTCGTATTCAGGCTTTGGTCACTTCATGTTCTAGTCTTCTTCAAACTCTTGGCTACTTCAGGTCATATTTTATTATGAACAACCTCAAGGACAGTTCAGATTACCCTATTGTTCTGATCCAACAACTGGAGATTGGCCATATTTTTTCCAGACATTTCATCATAGTGGTGGTATTCAGAGCAATGTGGTTCAATGTATCTTCTTCCAATGGAACATGCAAATTGGTGGCATCATGGTACCATTGAAGAAGATAAATGTAAAAGAAACAGGAGTGTTTTGAATAAGTCACAACAAAGTCTCATTTCTCCCAAGTGAGAACAACTGAAATCATTTACATGCCTTCTGCTAACGTACAATTCTGCTGTAGTTATTATCATGTAGTTTATCAAGCATATGTAATTAGCATAGCAACTTTTGCCTCCTATCACTGAAATGTTGATTCTCAGTCATAAGTAAAGATGCTGGTAAAGAATACATAATTATAAAGCATTTTATGCAAAAATACATACAGATAAAATCAAGAAAGATAGCAGGACCAAAAAAAAAGAGAAGAAAAAGAAGAGTGAGCTCAAAGGAGAGAACATGATCCTTCATCTTATAAACAACTTTAGATGTTTTAGTCTTGTTGGAAAATTATTTGTCACTAGCTTTTCTTTGAATCATTTCTTCAATCTATAATATTCTGGTGCTAGTAGCTATTGTGTGGGCATCCTTCATTTGCATGGGCAAAGTCAAGTATCTTCATCAGAGAGGACAGTTTCTTGATGGTATGAATTTCAGGACACTGGGCTCACCTCTTTGAAGTCTTCTAGTCTCACCCCCTACTTGAACAAAACAAAAGAGCCAACATTTAATCACCCAGCCTTCATTTTAAACTTTTTGTTAATGAGGAAAAAGAAAACCTGTTAATTCCCAGGGCTACTCATTCGATGGTTAGTTAGTCCTAATTTTTTAGGTAGTGTTTCCTTATATTAAGCCTAAACATGCCTCTCTGCAGCTTTTGTCCATTGTCCATATTCCTGCCCTCTGGAACTTAGCAGAACAAACCCAGGTAATGTTCATGTGTTAGCCTTTCCAAAACCTGAAGAAAGCTCTTGTTCCCCTCTTCCCCCCGGCCCTCTGAGCCTTTTCTTCTCCAGGCTTTTATCAGTGCAAGCCCACGATCCAGGTCACTTCTGTACACAAAATATACAAGTGTAAAACATTATATACTTGTACTAATCCTTGAGTAGCAGTGTGAGGGCCACTCCACATTCTTTGGTACTATGCTATAACAAAGGAGATGGGAGGAATGGTATCAGTCTAATTTTCTGCACAAATGGAGTTCAAGAATGAAATAAACACCACCCATTGCAGACAGAGAATAATAGTGTCCTTTCTTTCAAGCTTCAGTAGAATGTCCCCTTGTCTTTTTCTAAAGGACTATTAAAGCTCTCCTTAGGACGAGTTGAATGGTCATTTACACAAAAGAGTACTGGGCACTCTCTAAGGTTTCTTTTGTTGTTGTTGTTGTTGCTGTTTTTGTTTTTTCACAGATTCATATACTATCCTATAGAGTTCATCTTCAAAGGAATAATACAGATTATGCATGTCAGTTCAGATAATATTGTTGGAATACTCCAATGAATCCATGATTCCATGAGGGGCATGGAGATTCTTGCTAACTAGGCAGATCTAACCCATTGGTACTCATCCTGACTAGGCAAGCCTAGTTTGTAGCTGCCCAGAAGTTAGCCACAGGGAGTACCTCCCCATACTGGTGGCTTTCCTCAAGTTCTCTTACATTGCTATTGTACCAATGGGACATTCAAGCAGTCCACAGGATGTTCCTCTTTATCCCTACATGAATAGCTCATCTTCTTTACTGCTCAGATGATTCTTTGATGAAATCATTTACACTGTCTATCAAAATAGCCTTTTTTTAGTAAACCGCAACTCTGATCAGTTAATAAATTCAAATTTGTTTTTATCCCTCTAGTTTTCTTTTTTGAAATGACCAGGTGAAAAACATTTCTGCAAAGGTATGCTTCCTTATGTACAAAACGGAAGAGAGTCTCCTTAAAAGGACTACTGCTGTATCATATATATTTATACACACACATATATATTACATTTTATATATAGTATGTAGTATATTCATGCACACATGTATAGAAATCTCCATCGTCTCTATCTGCATAATTATTTTCTGCTTCACTGGCAAAGTTCTCCTTTGATGCCAAAAGGTTTCTCCTCTTTTAAAACATTTCCCAATTGCATTTTTTTCTTCATCTATCCTTTTATCTTTCCCACGATAGTTTTATCCATGTGTTAATTACTCTCTTGGTTCTTCAGGGCTCTATGACCTAGCTAAATAGAAGGAAGGATTGAGATCAAAATTGAGATAATTACAGTGGTTTATGCAGAGATTGTTGGACTGGATAATCTCTACACTCCACCCCCAATCTTCCATCCTTTCATCCTTCCTTTTTCCTTTCCTTCCTTCCTTCTTTCCTTCCTTGCTTGCTTCTTTCCTTCCTTCCTTTCTTCCTTCCTTTTCTTTTTTCCTTCCTTCCTTCCTTCCTTCCTTCCTTCCTTCCTTCCTTCTTTCCAATATTATTCATTTTTATTTGAGAAACATATTTTGTATTACTTCTCTGTATTCAATGGTATTCTAGGCAGTTTGTACTCAAACATGGCCTGTCTCTAGTAAAGGCTAATAAAGAGTATGGGTAGTTGTAAGTCAAAGATAATGGAAAGCAGGCACTGTCATGTAGTAGATTATATCCTGGAATTGGAGTCAGGAAGAATTTGGTTTGAATTCTGCCTCTGACGCTTACTGGCTGTGTGACCCCAGGGAAATAAATTCACCTCTCTGAGCCTCAATTTCTTCACTCCTCAAATGAGGAATTTAGACTGGACAATATCTAGGGTTTCTTTATAACTATAAATCTATGACCCAATGACATAGTTTAGCCAATAGCTACAAAATCCACTCATCATGTTTGCCAGAGTTGATTCGATGACAGTATTAACCAATCAGCATCACCTCCATTCCCTTCAGTTCAGACCTCTGGAAGAGCCAACACTAGGGTAGAACAACTGGGGCTTTGCTCCAGGGTACCAAAATTCAGAGAGTACTGACTGCACTCACACACTTCAACTGCATAGAGACAGCTGAGCCTGGTGACCGAGCGGAGCAGTGGCATGCCAGGTGAGCCCCTCCTTCGCCTGGCCTTACCCACCCCACCCAACCCCTTCTAGAATCTTCCATGGATGCCTCACATTGTTTGACTTTACCAGCCAGGAGGCCTGGTGTACCAGGCTTTGTATCCTGGTTCCTCTCCCTTCACACACAAACCAACTGAATTTGTCTTATGAAGTTGTTTTAAGGGTGGGTTTCCTGCTGCTTCTCCTGAAGCTTGTCTTAAGCCTTGCCCCCCTGGTGGATTGGCTAAAAATTCCAGAGTGGGTGAATGCAGCACAGTAGGGTTGGGCCATCTGCACACAGATTAATCAACCTATGAATATTTATGCAGTGGTCTTCCTTTCTTTAGGCATTTGTAGCTACTTTCTAATTGGTGCTTCCAAAATGAGTATAGCATGTATTATCATTTATATTCTTATTCGGGAAATGATCAGATGTTTTCTTTCCCGTTTCTCCCATTTCTTTATTATTTCATAGGAGTTTAGATTTACATGAGCAGCCTTGGTATAATTTCTTGTATTTTCTTCCATTTTTATTCCTAGATTATTTGTAAGGATTTCATTTGTTCCTGCTGCATTTAATACTTTTTTTTATAGAATGTAATGTAGGTTTATTTCAAGAGCTTAAAACAAGGCATTTTTTTTAAGATAAGGAAAACAAGTTTTTCCTGAGTGTGGGTATTGTACTCAGTCTGTATGCCAGCATAGAAAAGTAGATGGTAAATTAGAGCGATTGGAGGAATAATAATTCGTAAATCTCTGATTTCTCAGATTCTCTGGGTACAACAAACATGCATCATAGATATCTTGGAGCCAAAAGAGGGAAGAGCTATGTTTGTACAGAGGTAGGCAGACTGGATGAAGAAATTGTAACTGATC